GGGCGCTGCTTCACTCCCGGCACAACACTGGCCGCTGCTTCACTCCCGGCGCCACACTCCCCGTGCTTCACTCCCAGCACAACACTGGCCGCTGCTTCACTCCCGGCATAACACTGGCCGCTGCTTCACTCCTGGCGCCACACTCCCCGCTGCTTCACTCCTGGCACATCACTGGCCGCTGCTTCACTCCCTGCGCCACACTTCCCGCACATCACTGGCCGCTGCTTCACTCCCCGCACATTACTGGCCACTGCTTCACTCCCGGCGCCACATTCCCCGCACATCACTGGCCGCTGCTTCACTCCCCGCACAACACTGGCCGCTGCTTCACTCTTCAGACCCTCTTAACAACTTCAGACCTATATCAATTCTGCCAAACTCATCAAAAATATTTGAAAAACTAATCTATAAGCAGCTTTACTCTTATTTAGCCAAACTCAATATACTTAGCTCTTGTCAATATGGCTTCAGACCCCCAAAAAAGCACTAACGATGCACTTATTAGTATGATTAACTTGATACATACAGCTCTTGATAAAAATGAGTTCCCTGTTGGGTTATTTGTAGACCTGCGTAAGGCCTTTGACACTGTTAACCACCAAAACCTTCTTCTTAAATTACATCATTATGGAGTCAGAGGACACTCCCTGCAATACCTCAAGTCATACCTTACTGACAGGCTCCAGTATGTGTCTGTGAATAATTCAATTTCTCCCACCCTACCCATCAACATTGGTGTTCCCCAGGGCAGCATACTTGGCCCTCTCCTCTTTCTCATCTACATTAATGACCTTCCAAATGCCTCCCAACATCTCAAACCAGTTCTATTTGCTGACGATACGACCTTCATTTACTCCAGTCCTGACCCCTAAGCTTGCTCTAAATGTCACAGTGAATACTGAGCTAAATAAAGTCCATCACTGGCTAACTGCCAACAAACTCACCCTCAATATTGACAAAACTTTCTATATTCTGTTTGGAAATAAATCCTCAAATCAAAGAAATCTTAGGATTAACAATACCCAAATTTGTAACAAAGTAGATGGCAAATTCCTTGGCGTTCTCATTGACCGCAAGCTGAATTTCCAGGGACACATTCTAAATATATCAAAAAAGTTTCGAAAACTGTTGGCATTCTTTCTAAGATCAGATATTATGTACCTCGCCCTGCCCTGGTGACACTCTATTATTCTCTCATCTATCCTTATCTTAACTATGGTATTTGTGCTTGGGGTTCTACTACCCAAAATCATTTACATCCTCTAATTACTCAACACAAAGCTGCTATTAGGACAATATCTCACTCTGGCCCCAGACATCACTCGTACCCTTACTCAAATCTCTGAATATGTTAGATATTAAGTCCCTGCACATCCTCTTATGTGTATTTTAAATAAATAAAACGCTGAACTGTAATGTCAGTCCTGACCTTAAAAGCTTCCTAGAAGGTTGTAACAGATCCCATGAGCACCACACCAGAAACAATATCTATTTGATATTCCAAGTGTACGACCTAGTCAAACTAAAAATGCTTTACAAATCAAGGGACCTCGAATGTGGAATGACCTTCCCAATTATGTTAAAGACTGTACCTCTCTCAACCAGTTTAAGATAAAAACTAAACACTACCTAATAAATTCCCTGTAACCTACCTCACCCCGAAAATGTCAACCCATGTGTTCTATTTTAAACAATGCTGTTTTCTTTACCATATTGTATTTTTGTTTTTTTCTGTCATGTTTCCCCCCCCCCCTTTTTTCCATTCTTTTCTTATTTTTTCTCAACACAATTTATACTTTAATCTCAATTAGTATTAAGTTTTAGTCTTAGTGTTTTACCTGCCCGAAACGCTTTGCGTAATAGTGGCTTCAGGCATTGTATGTACTAGCTCTATCTATTAATCCATCAACTTTTGTATCTTGTATGTATGTACCTTACCTGAATAAAAATTTATTTATTTATTTTTTTATTTATATTTACTCCTGGCGCCACACTTCCCGCTGCTTCAGTCCCGGCACAACACTGGCCGCTGCTTCACTCCCGGCGCCACACTCCCCGCACATCACTGGCCGCTGCTTCACTCCCTGTTAGGGGGGTAGAAATAGCCTAAGCTACTCTATCCCTTTGAGATGTATTTATTGCTTATCTCAATAAACATACTTGAACTTCCCTGGAAACACAAACCGAAATTGTCTCTATTTTCCGCTTGTTACAACTTGTAATAAAGTTGTTACATCTTGGCTTAACGTGTTTATGACGTATTAGAACGTTGTTACAACTAGCTATATTGGTTGTTATAACTGGTTAGGTGGTGTTAAAACTTGTTCGAACGTTGTACCAACGTCGTAGTTTCGGTGTGTGTTTGGTGGGTTGAACTCACTCCCTGCGCCACACTCCCCGCACATCACTGGCCGCTGTTTCACTCCTGGCGCCACACTCCCCGCACATCACTGGCCGCTGCTTCACTCCCGGCGCCACATTCCCTGTTGCTTCACTCTCGGCGTCACACTCCCCGCTGCTTCACTCCTGGCGCCACATTCCCTGTTGCTTCACTCTCGGCGTCACACTCCCCGCTGCTTCACTCCCAGCGCCACATTCCCCGCTGCTTCACTCCCGGCGTCACACTCCCTGCTGCTTCACTCCCAGCGCCACATTCCCCGCTGCTTCACTCCGGCGCCACACCCGATCACCGCTGCTTCACTTCGGCGCCACACACTCCCCGCTTCTTCACTCCCAGTGCCACATTCCCCGCTACTTCACTCCCGGCGCCACACTCCCTGCTGCTTCACTCCCAGCGCCACATTCCCCGCTGCTTCACTCCCGGCGTCACACTCCCTGCTGCTTCACTCCCAGCGCCACATTCCCCATTGCTTCACTTCCGGCGACACACTCACTGCTGCTTCACTTCGGTGCGACACAGTCCCTGCTGCTTCACTTCCGGCGCCACACACTCCCCGTTGCTTCACTCCCGGTGACACACTCCCTGCTGCTTCACTCCCCGCTGCTTCACTCCCGGCACCATACTCCCCGCTGCTTCACTCCCGGTGCCACACACACTCACCGCTGCTTCACTCCCGGCGACACACACTCCCTGCTGCTTCACTCCCGGTGCCACACACTCCCCGCTGCTTCACTCCCGGTGCTACACACTCCCCGCTGCTTCACTCCCGGCGACACACACTCCCCGCTGCTTCACTCCCGGCGCCACACACTCCCCGCTGCTTCACTCCCGGTGCCACACACTCACTGCTGCTTCACTCCCGGCGACACACACTCCCTGCTGCTTCACTCCCGGCGCCATACTCCCCGCTGCTTCACTCCCGGCGCCACACACTCACCGCTGCTTCACTCCCGGCGACACACACTCCCTGCTGCTTCACTCCCGGCGCCATACTCCCCGCTGCTTCACTCCCGGCGCTACACACTCACCGCTGCTTCACTCCCGGCGACACACACTCCCTGCTGCTTCACTCCCGGCGCCATACTCCCCGCTGCTTCACTCCCGGTGCCACACACTCACCGCTGCTTCACTTCCTGCGACACACACTCCCCGCTGCTTCACTCCAGCTGGTACCACACTCCCTGCTACTTCACTCCCGGCGCCACACACCCTGCTGCTTCACTCCTGATGCCACACTCCCCGCTGCTTCACTCCTGGCACCATACTCCCCGCTGCTTCACTCCCAGTGCCACACACACTCACCGCTGCTTCACTCCCGGCGACACACACTCCCTGCTGCTTCACTCCCGGTGCCACACACTCCCCGCTGCTTCACTCCCAGTGCTACACACTCCCTGCTGCTTCACTCCCGGCGACACACACTCCCCGCTGTTTCACTCCCGGCGCCATACACTCCCCGCTGCTTCACTCCCGGCGCCACACACTCTCACTGCTGCTTCACTCCCGGCGACACACACTCCCTGCTGCTTCACTCCCGGCGCCATACTCCCCGCTGCTTCACTCCCGGCGCCACACACTCACCGCTGCTTCACTCCCGGCGACACACACTCCCTGCTGCTTCACTCCCGGCGCCATACTCCCCGCTGCTTCACTCCCGGCGCCACACACTCACCGCTGCTTCACTCCCGACGACACACACTCCCTGCTGCTTCACTCCTGGCGCCATACTCCCCGCTGCTTCACTCCCGGCGCCACACACTCACCGCTGCTTCACTTCCGGCGACACACACTCCCCGCTGCTTCACTCCAGCTGGTACCACACTCCCTGCTACTTCACTCCCGGCGCCACACACCCTGCTGCTTCACTCCTGATGCCACACACCCCGCTGCTTCACTCCTGGCGCCACACTTCCCGCTGCTTCACTCCCGGCGCCACACTCCCCACTGCTTCACTCCTGGCGCCACACTGCTTCACTCCTGGTGCCACACTCCACGCTGCTTCACTCCTGGCGCCACACTCCCTGCTGCTTCACTCTTGGCGCCACACTCCCCGCTGCTTCACTCCTGGCGCCACACTCCCTGCTGCTTCACTCCCGGCGCCACATTCCCCGCTGCTTCACTCCTGGCGCCACACTCCCCGCTGTTTTACTCCTGGCGCCACATTCCCCGCTGCTTCACTCCTGGCGCCACACTGCTTCACTCCTGGTGCCACACTCCACGCTGCTTCACTCCTGGCGCCACACTCCCCGCTGTTTTACTCCTGGCGCCACATTCCCCGCTGCTTCACTCCTGGCGCCACACTCCCCACTGTTTTACTCCTGGCGCCACATTCCCCGCTGCTTCACTCCTGGCGCCACACTCCCCGCTGTTTTACTCCTGGCGCCACATTCCCCGCTGCTTCACTCATGGCGCCACACTCCCCGTTGCTTCACTCCCGGCGCCACACTCCCCGTTGCTTCACTCCCGGCGCCACACTGCTTCACTCCTGGCGCCACACTCCAAGCTGCTTCACTCCCGGCGCCACACTCCCCGTTGCTTCACTCCCGGCGCCACACTCCCCGTTGCTTCACTCCCGGCGCCACACTGCTTCACTCCCGGCGCCACACTCCCCGCACAACACTGGCCGCTGCTTCACTGGTGGGCTTGAGACAGCTTCGAAACAAGAGAAAGTTTGAAGCATTGATCTGGTGGATGTAAACAAAAGGCGCCTCCGCCCGGACCTTCGCTGCTCCTCCCCGGCCATGGCCTCCCTCGCCCCGACCATGGTAATGTGTCCCCCCTCGCCTCGACCATGGTAATGTGTCCCTCGCCTCGACCATGGTAATGTTCCCCCCTCGCCTCGACCATGGTAATGTTCCCCCCCCCCTCGCCCCGACCATGGTAATGTGCGCCCCCTCGCCCCGACCATGGTAATGTGTCCCTCGCCCCGACCATGGTAATGTGTCCCTCGCCCCGACCATGGTAATGTGTCCCTCGCCCCGACCATGGTAATGTGTCCCTCGCCCCGACCATGGTAATGTGTCCCCCCTCGCCCCGACCATGGTAATGTGTCCCCCCTCGCCCCGACCATGGTAATGTGTCCCCCCTCGCCCCGACCATGGTAATGTGTCCCCCCTCGCCCCGACCATGGTACTCCTTCTTGCAGCACTTTGCTCCTCGCTGCACCCATCCTGAAGCTCGACGGTTCAAGTGGCATCATTCCTTATGTTGCTTCCCAGTACTGTGTAGTCGAACTGGCTTACTGCTGTCTTCTGCTTAGCTCCTGCTTGTGTGCCTGCTGGTGTTCCTGCATGTGTGCCTGCTGGTGTTCCTGCTTGTGTGCCTGCTGGTGTTCCTGCTGGTGTGCCTGCTGGTGTTCCTGCTGGTGCTCCTGCTGGTGTGCCTGCTGGTGTTCCTGCTGGTGCTCCTGCTGGTGTGCCTGCTGGTGCTCCTGCTGGTGTGCCTGCTGGTGTTCCTGCTGGTGCTCCTGCTGGTGTGCCTGCTGGTGCTCCTGCTGGTGTGCCTGCTGGTGTTCCTGCTGGTGTTCCTGCTGGTGTGCCTGCTGGTGTTCCTGCTGGTGCTCCTGCTGGTGTGCCTGCTGGTGCTCCTGCTGGTGTTCCTGCTTGTGTGCCTGCTGGTGTTCCTGCTGGTGTGCCTGCTGGTGTTCCTGCTGGTGCTCCTGCTGGTGTGCCTGCTGGTGTTCCTGCTGGTGTGCCTGCTGGTGCTCCTGCTGGTGTTCCTGCTGGTGCTCCTGCTGGTGTTCCTGCTTGTGTGGTTGCTGGTGTGGTTGCTGGTGCTCCTGCTGGTGTTCCTGCTGGTGCTCCTGCTGGTGTTCCTGCTTGTGTGGTTGCTGGTGTGGTTGCTGGTGCTCCTGCTGGTGTTCCTGCTTGTGTGGTTGCTGGTGTGGTTGCTGGTGCTCCTGCTGGTGTTCCTGCTGATCTCAGGGTCCTCTGGTTCCTGTCTGGGGTGTGACACATGACACTTGTTACTGTGTGGGTGTGACACATGACACTTGTTACTGTGTGGGTGTGACACATGACACTTGTTACTGTGTGGGTGTGATATGTGACACTTGTTACTGTGTGGGTGTGACACATGACACTTGTTACTGTGTGGGTGTGACACATGACACTTGTTACTGTGTGGGTGTGACACATGACACTTGTTACTGTGTGGGTGTGACACATGACACTTGTTACTGTGTGGGTGTGACACATGACACTTGTTACTGTGTGGGTGTGACACATGACACTTGTTACTGTGTGGGTGTGACACATGACACTTGTTACTGTGTGGGTGTGACACATGACACTTGTTACTGTGTGGGTGTGACACATGACACTTGTTACTGTGTGGGTGTGACACATGACACTTGTTACTGTGTGGGTGTGACACATGACACTTGCTACTGTGTGGGTGTGATATGTGACACTTGCTACTGTGTGGGTGTGATGTGTGACACTTGTTACTGTGTGGGTATGATATGTGACACTTGTTACTGTGTGGGTGTGATATGTGACACTTGCTACTGTGTGGGTGTGATATGTGACACTTGCTACTGTGTGGGTGTGATGTGTGACACTTGCTACTGTGTGGGTGTGATATGTGACACTTGTTACTGTGTGGGTGTGGTATGTGACACTTGCTACTGTGTGGGTGTGATATGTGACACTTGCTACTGTGTGGGTGTGATATGTGACACTTGCTACTGTGTGGGTGTGATATGTGACACTTGCTACTGTGTGGGTGTGACACCTGACATGGGTAATTTAACTGTGGGGGGACACACCTCAGCAGCACTGAATTAATCGTTAACCCTTAGAGAGCGGCTATGGAGAAATGGTTATATCTTCCTATGCACAAAAAAATATATATAACTTTTAATTTTAGAATTATTAATTAATAGAAAGGGCTTATTAGTATATTCTGAGAGCAACAAATTTTTATTTGTGCTAAATTTTCGGCCAATAAAGCAGGTTTAGGGTGTGTCGCACGATGTCATTCGACATCTGAGGTAACTAAACTCTGCCGGTGTTCGTTTCAGTGTGCTTAGAGTTTAGTGTATTGCGTTACAACTGTTTATCTGCATGAATGAATTTGTTTGTCATCATCATTATAAATACAGTATATATGATCTAAAGTCATTTTTTTACATTTCCAATTATTTTTGGTTCTCTACTCGTCAGATGCTAAGATTTGTTCATGTAAGTGTTGCAGTAAAGAGAAAGCTAGACAAAAAGTGCCAATGAAAGGTTTTGAGTTCAGTTTTTAATGTTTTATTTCACCTTGAGCACCTGTTGTCTTAACCCATGTACTGCACTCCCTTGTAATATGAAAACCCCTTGCTGCACATGATAATTGTTCCCCCTAAATTTTTGTTCTTATGATGTTAAAAATCCCTTCCCTGAAAAACAAGTAATTACCTAAGTGTAATTACCTAAGTGTAGTTACAGGATGAGAGCTACGCTCGTGGTGTCCCGTCTTCCCAGCACTCTTTGTCATATAACGCTTTGAAACTACTGACGGTCTTGGCCTCCACCACCTTCTCACTTAACTTGTTCCAACCGTCTACCACTCTATTTGCGAAGGTGAATTTTCTTATATTTCTTTGGCATCTGTGTTTAGCTAGTTTAAATCTATGACCTCTTGTTCTTGAAATTCCAGGTCTCAGGAAGTCTTCCCTGTCGATTTTATCAATTCCTGTTACTATTTTGTATGTAGTGATCATATCACCTCTTTTTCTTCTGTCTTCTAGTTTTGGCATATTTAATGCTTCTAACCTCTCCTCGTAGCTCTTGCCCTTCAGTTCTGGGAGCCACTTAGTAGCATGTCTTTGCACCTTTTCCAGTTTTTTGATGTGCTTCTTAAGATATGGGCACCACACAACAGCTGCATATTCTAGCTTTGGCCTAACAAAAGTCATGAACAATTTCTTTAGTATATCGCCATCCATGTATTTAAATGCAATTCTGAAGTTAGAAAGCATAGCATAGGCTCCTTGCACAATATTCTTTATGTGGTCCTCAGGTGATAGTTTTCTATCTAGAACCACTCCTAGATCTCTTTCTTTATCAGAATTCTTTAAAGATTTCTCACATAATATATAGGTTGTGTGGGGTCTATGTTCTCCTATTCCACATTCCATAACATGACATTTATTAACATTAAATTCCATTTGCCAAGTGGTGCTCCATATACTTATTTTGTCCAGGTCTTTTTGAAGGGCATGACAGTCATCTAAATTTCTTATCCTTCCTATTATCTTAGCATCATCAGCAAACATGTTCATATAATTCTGTATACCAACTGGTAGATCATTTATGTACACAATAAACATCACTGGTGCAAGAACTGAACCCTGTGGTACTCCACTTGTGACATTTCTCCATTCTGATACATTGCCTCTGATTACTGCCCTCATTTTTCTATCAGTCAGAAAATTTTTCATCCATGATAGAAGCTTACCTGTCACCCCTCCAATATTTTCCAGTTTCCAGAATAACCTCTTATGTGGAACTCTGTCGAAAGCCTTTTTTAGGTCCAGATAGATGCAGTCAACCCAACCATCTCTTTCCTGTAATATCTCTGTGGCTCGATCATAGAAACTGAGTAAATTCGATACACAGGATCTTCCAGATCGAAAACCATACTGTCTGTCTGATATTATATCATTTCTCTCTAGGTGTTCTACCCATTTAGTTTTGATTAGTTTTTCCAATACTTTCACTATTACACTTGTCAATGATACAGGTCTATAATTGAGGGGGTCTTCCCTGCTGCCACTTTTGTAGATTGGAACTATGTTAGCCTGTTTCCACCCGTCTGCTACGATTCCTGTACACAGGGATGCCTGAAAGATCAGGTGAAGTGGAATGCTGAGCTCAGATGCACATTCTCTCAGAACCCATGGTGAAACGCCATCTGGGCCAGCTGCTTTGTTCTTACCGAGCTCCTTGAGCATTTTTTCCACTTCGTCTCTAGACACCTCTATGTGTTCTATGTTGTTCTCTGGAATTCTTATTGTATCTGGTTCCCTAAAGATTTCATTTTGTACAAACACACTTTGGAACTTTTCGTTTAGTGTTTCACACATTTCCTTTTCATCTTCCGTGAATCTATTTCCCATTTTCAACCTCTGAATATTATCCTTTACCTGCAATTTGTTGTTTATGAATTTATAGAATAGACCTGGTTCTGTTTTACATTTGTCCGCAATCCCTTTTTCAAAATTTCTTTCTGCCTCTCTCCTCACTGCCGTGTAGTTGTTTCTCGCATCTTTGTATCGCTGGTATGTTTGGGGGTTCGGCCTCTTCCTGTATTGATTCCATTTTTGTGTCTTTCGGTCTCTAGCCCTCTCGCAATTTCTATTGAACCAATCCTGTTTCCTAGTTCTGCATCTCTGTTTTGGTATAAATTTTTTTGTGCCTTTATCATATATTTCACAAAACTTGCCATACATCTCATTCACTTCCTTGCCTAGCATCAAGTCTGTCCAATTATACTCACTAAAAAAATTTCTAAGGTCACCATAATGTCCTCTCCTGAAGTCTGGTTTTTCAACTGCTTCAACCTCCTTATTTTCTTCCAGCTTATAACGCATTGCATACTTTATTCCCAAAAAGACATGGTCACTTTTACCCAAGGGAGGAAGGTACTGAATGTCAAATATCTCTTCCTCCTTCCTGGTAAATATCAAATCTAGCATGGAGGGAACGTCCCCTTCCCTCATCCTCGTAGCTTGTTTAACATGTTGATACAAGAATGTTTCCAGGATGAGGTCTACAAATTTACAGGTCCAAAAATCTTCTGTTTTAGCTTCATATGCTTCCCAGTCTATGGATTTCAAGTTGAAGTCACCGACTATCAACAGTCGTGATCTATCGTTATCCGCTCTCGCTATAATCTCTCTCATTATTGTTATAAGACCTTCACGTTTACTATCTAGCTCCTCCTTTGACCATGTGCTGCTTGGCGGTGGACTATATGCATTTATCATCATTAGTTTATCATCCTCATAGCAGATCTCTAGTGCTATTATGTCAACTTCTTGTGGATTGGCAGTCATTATTTCCTTCACCTTTAGGTGTTCTTTTACCAGCACAGCAACGCCACCGCCTTTCCTAATTTTTCTGTCCCGTCTCCAAATTGAGTAGCCCCTCGGGAATATGACCTCATTTAAAATTACATCTTCAAGTTTTGTCTCCGTGAGTGCAACAATGTCTGGTGTCTGCAGCTGTATTACATCACTTAACTCCAGTATCTTCGATCTCACTCCATCTATGTTGGTGTATGCAATCTTCAGGAACTTGTTCCCCCTCTCCTTATTCTTCACTCCCCCTCTCTCTATTGATTTTGTTGGTTTGCCTTTATGTACCACTTTACTGGTTTGCCTACCCCTATCACTTTGTAGAAAAAAGAATTTATTTCTTCTTCATTCCTGCTCTCATTTAAATGTTTTGCCTCGGCGAGGTTCAGTTTCAGCTTCTCTCTATCTTCTTTTGAAAGATCTCGTCTTAATGACCACCCTTTCCCATCCTCATCCCTTTGCAATTTTCTAGCATTCCTTAGTACTTCTTCCATCTGTTTGGCACCGTTTAGGGTGATCCTCAAAGGTCGATCTTTCCCTTTTATGTACCTGCCTATTCTCCTGTAGTCGCACACATTCTCTCTGTTTGTAAGACCTTCCACGAGGCCAACAATTTTATCTACTACTTTAGCTTCTTCTACAGCTCTTTCTGACCTAGATGTTATCGCCTTTTCTTTGCAGCCAAAAATGATCAGGGACTTACTCCGATCAACTGTGTTTTGCACCAACTTCGGGTTAGATGCCAATTCTTTCCTCACTTCTAGCCTAATGTTTGTTTTATCTTGGTTGCTGCAGTGTTTGACTTCCTTTACTGCTTCTTCTATTTTTTCCTTCTCCTTGGCCACTTGTGCATAAGTGAGTTGCATATCTTTCTTGCACTGTTCTATTCCCTGTGTAACTTCCTCCATCTGTGCTGACAAAAGCTGTTTCTCCTGTTGAATTTCCTTGCCTAACCTATTGTAGTCATTTATGTTTAAATTTACTTTAACTTCTTCCAAAGCTATTTTTAAGAGTTTATTTTCTTCTTCCATGGCTTTGCAATTTGTTTCCAATTGATTCTTATCCTTGCGCAAGTCTTTCACTAAACCCTCAAGACATAATACTTTGCTATTCAAATGGTCATTACTTTCTTTCAATTTACTAATTATTTCTACATGAGAGTTCACTATAGTATCTAAATTTACCAACTTGTTATGTAGACTACTAATATCAATGCTTTCTTCATTGAATCCCTCAAAATCAAGCTCTGTTTTGTTTTTCCCCTTGCCAGTGGCCATCTTGAATGTTCTTCTCTGCACTGTAAACACGTGTTAAACAAGCTACGAGGATGAGGGAAGGAGACGTTCCCTCCATGCTAGATTTAATGTTTGCCAGGAAAGAGGAAGAGATATTTGATATTCAGTACCTTCCTCCCTTGGGTAGAAGTGACCATGTCTTTTTAGGAATAAAGTATGCAATACATTACAATCTGGAAGAAAATAAGGAGATTGAAGCAGATGAAAAACCTGACTTCAGGAGAGGACATTTTGGGTACCTTAGAAATTTTTTTAATGAGTATAATTGGACAGACTTGTTGCTAGGCAAGGAAGTGAATGAGATGAATGTCAAGTTTTGTGAAATATATGATAAAGGCCCAACAAAATTTATACCAAGGCACAGAAGCAGAACCAGGAAACAAGATTGGTTCAACAGAAATTGCGAGAGAGCCAGAGACCAAAAGACACAAAAATGGAATCAATATAGGAAGAGACCAAACCCCCAAGCATACCAGCGATACAAAGATGAAAGAAACAACAACACGGCAGTGAGGAGAGAGGCAGAAAGAAATTTTGAAAAAGGGATAGCGGACAAATGTAAAACAGAACCAGGCCTATTCTATAAATTCATAAACAACAAATTGCAGGTAAAGGTTAATATTCAGAGGTTGAAAATGGGAAACAGGTTCACAGAAAATGAAAAGGAAATGTGTGAAACATTAAACAAAAAGTTCCAAAGTATGTTTGTACAAAATGAAATCTTCAGGGAACCAGACACAATAAGAATTCCAGAGAACAACATAGAGCACATAGAGGTGTCTAGAGACAAAGTGGGAAAAATGTACAAGGAACTAAGTAAGAACAAAGCAGTTGGCCCAGATGGAGTTTGACCATGGGTTCTGAGAGAATGTGCACCTGAGCTCAGCATTCCACTTCAACTGATTTTTCAGGCATCCCTGTGTACAAGAGTCATAGGAGATGTCTGGAAAAAGGCTAACATAGTTCCAATCTACAAAAGTGGCAGCAGGGAAGACCACCTCAATTATAGACCTGTATCATTGGCAAGTAATAGTCAAAATATTGGAAAAAATAATTAAAAGTAAATGGGTAGAACACCTGGAGAAAAACGATATAATATCAGATCGTCAGTATGGTTTTCGATCTGGAAGAGTGTAACCAATTTACTCGGTTCTATGATCGAGCCACAGAGATTTTACAGGAAAGAGATGGTTGGGTTGGCTGCATCTATCTGGACCTAAGAAAGGCTTTCAACAGAGATCCACGTAAGAGGGTGTTCTGAAAACTGGAACATATAGGAGGGGTGACAGGTAAGCTTCTAACATGGATGAAAAATTTCCTAACTGATAGAAAAATGAGGGCTGTAATCAGAGGCAATGTTTCAGATTTGAGTAATGTCACAAGCGGAGTACCACAGGGTTCAGTTCTTGCACCGGTAATGTTTATTTTCTACATGGCCTCGGGCCGGGCTTGGGGAGTAGAAGAACTCCCAGAACCCCATCAACCAGGTATCAACATAAATGATCTACTAGATGGAATACAGAATTATATGAACATGTTTGCTGATGATGCTAAGATAATAGGGAAGATAAGAAACTTAGATGATTGTCATGCCCTTCAAGAAGACCTGGACAAAATAAGTATATGGAGCACCACTTGGCAAATGGAATTTAATGTGAATAAATGCCATGTTATGGAATGTGGAATAGGAGAATATAGACCCCACACAACCTATATATTATGTGAGAAATCATTAAAGAATTCTGACAAAGAAAGAGATCTAGGGGTGGTTCTAGATAGAAAACTGTCACCTGAGGACCACATTAAGAACATTGTGCGAGGAGCCTATGCTACACTTTCTAACCTCAGGATTGCTTTTAAATACATGGATGGAGAAATACTAAAGAAATTGTTCACGACTTTTATTACACCAAAGCTGGAATATGCAGTGGTTGTATGGTGCCCATATCTTAAGAAGCACATCAACAAACTGGAAAAGGTGCAACGACATGCCACTAAGTGGCTCCCGGAACTGAAGGACAAGAGCTACGAGGAGAGGTTAGAGGCATTAAATATGCAAAAACTAGAAGATAGAAGAAAAAGAGGCGATATGATCACTACGTTCAAAATAGTAACAGGAATCGATAAAATTGATAGGAAGAATTCCTGAGACCCGGAACTTCAAGAAAGAACAAGAGGTCATAGATTTAAACTAACGAAACAAAGCTGCCGGAGAAATATACGAAAATTCACTTTTGCAAATAGAGTGGTAGACGGTTGGAACAAGTTAGGTGAGAAGGTGGTGGAGGCCAAAACCGTCAGTAGTTTCAAAGCATTATATGACAAAGAGTGCTGGGGAGACGGGACACCACGAGCGTAGCTATCATCCTGTAACTACACTTAGGTAATTTCAGTGGTAACACGCTTGCCCCACGCTTCACAAGTGATTTAGCCTGGGTTCATATCCTATCTGGGGAGAATTGACTAGGCGCCTATTCTTAACTGTAGCTTCTGTTCACCCAGGAGTGTACCTGGTTGTTAAATGATTCGGCGGGTTGTGTTCTGGGGAAAATTAAGATTAAGGACCTTCTTGAAACAATGCATGCTAGTGGCTTTTCAAGAATGTAAGAACTCTTGTATATATATTTAAATAAATACAAATTATTACATAAATTTAATACTGTATTTTAATTTTAATGAACAAATTGAACTAAACACAAACTTAATTGGACATTGAAGGTTTTGTCATGACAAAGTTCATTTATGAAAGTGCCTTCTGCAGTGCACAAATAACACTGAATACAACTAAAAGCCCCATTTTTGGCTTCCTGTAAAGGTTCTTTGTGTATTTGCTGTGGTACCACAGACATCCACAGTGCTTCCGGGCATCTTGACTTGTGCACGCTTACCAAATGCTTACCAGATGGTGTGTTCAGAAGTTAGAGGAACTCGTGGATCTAAGACTGACCTAAAATAGAATAAAGCTGCCTAGAAAACACAGTTCATGTGCTAATTCCTAAGCAGCTTAGGTCACCCAAGGGACTAGTCACCCCCCACTTTCCGATTTAAGTGACGCTGTCCAAAATGCAGCCTGTTCCCATGAGAAAGATGGGTTTGTACGGGGGTACTTTTGTTGAACATAATAAAAATGAAATAAAATGTATTCAGAAGATAAGTCTATATTATTAGACTTATGTAATGATTACATAATTACAATGATTACATTACATTACTTATTAAGTAATGAAAATGTTTGTTTGCAGTGATGGCATCGAGGGATAGTGGGACTTCAGGCAGTGGTGGCGTTGGTACAGGAGGTTTGGTACTTCACCAACAGCATAACCCTCAGGCTTCCAGCATGACTGCTGCAGTTGGAGCTGCAGGTGGAGGGGGAGGAGGAATGCCCGTTGGGGCAGTTGCTGCCGGAAGCTCCCAAGCAGCAGGGGCAGGAGAAGCGGCTGGAAGAGTCAGTAATGTTCAGCGTATCCAGCAAAAGAAGGCACAAGTGAGAGCTTGGCCTCGAGACAAGAAACTGGAGAAGTTGGCCATATATTCTTCATGCAGGGTAAAGTGCTTACTGTATATGACTTTTTTGTTCCTAAAGTTGTTCTATATGAATCCATAAATTACATTTTAATTTAAATTTAAGCTTTTCATAAACTCTTTTTGTTGTGATACTGTCGTTAGTGCCTACTTGTTAAAAAGTGGTAGTTGAATCTGAAAGGTGGATTTTACAAACGTGCCTTGATACAATAGTTTATATATTTTGTAACTTTTGTCAAGGCATCTGACTTTCAGAACAGGACTTTGAACTTTATAGTTGCTGGCCTCTGGCAGCGAGAAGAAAATATCGTCCCATATGGTAGATCCAAATTTACCTGAATTTACCCAAGGGCTGCAATCTATATAGTGGCCTCGACAGGGACAAGAAGCTGGTGGTTTGTTAATTAAAAGGTCCCCCATTTTTCCTGAGAATTTTTTCCAACTGGATTTTGAACTGCAGTAACGACTTTGCATTTACAGCTCTGGTGGGTAGGCGGTTCCTTGGGTTTATGACCCTATGGGTGAATAAGCATCTGAACAAACCACACACCAGAAGATGAAGAAACGACGACGTCTCTGTCCATCCTGGACCATTATCAAGTTGTATGTGGGTGCATGTGAAAGAAGTTAACAGACCATGATATGTTGAAAAATTTAACGACTGTAATGGTCCAGGAGGGATCGAAATGTCATTGTTTCTTCATCTTCTGGTGTGTTATGTCATCGTATATTCAGCCACATTATTGTGACTTGTCGTCTGCATAAGCATCTCCTGTTTTCTGTTCTACACTGGCTTGTTGAGCTTAAAGTTGCTTCCCTATGTATGAGTTATATTCGACATGGTCTGGATCAGTATCCTCTAAATTGTTCAGTATTTTAAAAGTTTCGAGAGATCAGCCCTGTCATGTCTGGTTTGTGGTGCTGTTAGCCCTGTGGTCCTCAACCGTTCCTGGTTTGAGAGTTGACTTGGTTCTGGGAGGATTTTTGTCGCCCGGTGTTCAACTTTCTCCAAAGCAGCTGTCTTTCTATTGATGGGGTGACAAAAATACTTTGTTAAAGACCTTGTTACCTATATAAGAGCTATTATGATTAATAGCAAATATGATAAAAATACTTATTATAAATGTGTAAAACAAGAAACAACACAAATCAACAATATATTAACATGAATCAATGTTCATTGCATTAAATTTTGAAGCCTTGAAGGCATTTCTTCACTATCCTCTATAATGGTTGATCCATTAGATGACACTGCTTTGAGTTGTTGTTAATGGTTGGGGGCAGCTACAGCTACCCTTAGAGAGAATAATGCATCAATTAGAGACCTGGATGTAAGTTCATTAATGGTATGCTAGAAACACTCGATCTGCAACTCCCATTGTGTGTGTTTAGGAATTATATTGAGTTCACGTGAAAGCAGTTAACAGACCATGAAATGTTGACAAATGTTAATCAACTATATGTATATTAGATACATTTGATTTGACCTAACAGGCTGATGAGAAGTGCAAGTGTAATGGTTGGAAGAACCCGAGCCCTCCAGCACACCCTGCACGTCCCGACACTCCTCAGCCAGCAGCGCCCCCTTCCCAGCCGTGCCGCAGCTGTACACACACCTTAGGTACAGTATTTGGGTTTCAAGATTTAACAGTTCCTCTCTGGTGTTTATATAATTGGTATAGATGAACGTTATATATAACCTATATATAATGTTTATATAGGAGTGTGATTGTTGTGGGGTTGTATCCTGGGCAGGGTCAGTAATTCAACCCGGGGGGGTGTTCGATATAAGCCTAACGTGTATGAATACCCTCTGGCTTCCTGTCCCCCGATACAATGAATTATTATTATTATGACTTATAATCATCATAACCCTGTTTGCTACCTATAGTTGAAACTTATTAAATATTTTCTAATTGACACATATCACATCTTGCTTTATCTCACATAATGTAGCATCATGGAAAATCAGCACTGACAGTTTTCTGAAATTCAACTATGATAGATTCATTATTTCATGGAGCTGTGCACTTCAACACAGTCTCGTTCACTACTGTTCTTCGTGTGCTGTTCATGCTTGGTTAACCCTTAAATTGCGCATCGCATCATATGATGCTTTGACCGACTTGCAGTAAATTGCGCATCACATCATATGATGCTTTGGAGTACTACACAAGATTTAAACGGCCCGCAGATACACGGGGTTCACCACACCTTCATCAGGGCTCTTTTAAACAGACGCCATTTTTGTTTTTAAACCGTGGGCCAAATTCCCGGGTGTTAGGGGCCTCAGTATTGAGTGAGCTACCAAGCCTGACGCACGCAGCATGAGCTCACAGCACTGCTGTTCAGCTTGTGACCACAGCATCGCCTAAAAATGCCATAATATACTTGTTCATGCTATTATGTAGCGATGATATTATTACAGAAGACCCCTGACTGTGATAAAACTGACCAGGGTTCTGATAATAGCAGGATTGTGGTGATATTTAGCGCTGTGCTCCATGGAGGGAGGAGTAATGCTGTGGGAGGGAGGGTGGTGGCGTTGTCTTCTGACTGTGTGTGGCCACCTTTTATTGACTGCACTCACCATACCAGCTTAGTGGTTCGCTGTGGTGAACACAAATGTAGATACTTATATATAACGTGTGTATAGAGGGTATAAACAGCAAGAGGAGAAGGTTTGGAGCCGCCATTTTGGTGAGGGCGGTGGCGTCGTCTGCACGACGCCACCGTGCAGACGACGGTGTTGTTTACTGGTTACCACGATGGTCTTTGGGCACCATACCAGTTTACTTGTACAAGTATGGTGAATAAAACAGATAGATATTTATATATAATGTGTGTATATAGCGTAATAACACCACAAACAGTATTGTTGGAGGAGAAATATTAGTGCGTCTGGCCTTGAGGGCGGCAGCCATCAGCTGACTGTGTGAGGTCCTACGTTTTTGTGCCTTTACTCACCATACAAGCTTAGATGTACAGTTATGGTGAACAAAACATGTAAATACATATATATAATGTCTGTATATTAAAGCAAAAACAGTATGGTGGGTGGAGAATGGTGGCAAGTCAGGTGAGGTGAGGGAGGGAGGGAGTGGCAGCCAGTGGCAGGCTGGCTGCCACTGCCACTGGCCACTGGCCACTTGCCTCCCCGTGGCAAGTGGGGAGGAGGTATTTGTGAATCATACGTTTACACGTACTCGGTGATTTCTTGGAATGTTGAATAAAAGCATACTGATAAAAATAGTTAAAAAGAAGTTATATTCAAATAAAATTGACGGTAAGAAAAAAATAGAAAACCCAAGAGGATGGGTAAATGTTAGTGTAACAAACTGTGTGGCATGTAAACATCCCGTGGCAAGTGGCATGTAAACATCCCGTGGCAAGTGGCATGTAAACATCCTGTGGCAAGTGGCATGTAAACATCCCGTGGCAAGTGGCATGTAAACATCCCGTGGCAAGTGGCATGTAAACATCCCGTGGCAAGTGGCATGTAAACATCCCGTGGCAAGTGGCATGTAAACATCCCGTGGCAAGTGGCATGTAAACATCCCGTGACAAGTGGCACTGGAAAGGAAGGGGGGTGGGCACTGTGGACAATACTTTTCCCTAACAAGGAAGAATGTTTGGCATTTCATTAATAACAAGTCACATGAAACACTCCTCACAGCAGTCTATGAATGGGCCAAGATCCTGGTATTGTTAATTGTGCAGTACAGTGATGCACATTTTGTTTTCATGATCTTAAACCTTTTTTCTCCAGCAAGTAGCCATTTACCTCAGGACAGTGGGATATAGTGCTTTTTAGCTTTTGATGGCAAAATGGTGTGGGAAAGGATAGCGGGAGGAGGAAGAAGGATGTGGAACTCTGAAAGAGGATGTGGATGGTGAAGGAGGGGGCTTGAAAGTTGAGTGGCCCTGACCAACATATGCATAGGCATTGATCTATAGGTTGATGTTGGGTTTACTTGATCGGCAGGAGGCTAGCGGGGTGGCGGTCGGTGGTCGTGCTAGTAATTACCTAAGTGTAGTTACAGGATGAGAGCTATGCTCGTGTTGTCCCGTCTTCCCGGTACTCTTTGTCATATGACGCTCTGAAACTACTGATGGTTTTGGCCTTCACTGTTTTCTCACTTGGCTTGTTCCAACTGTCTACCAATCTGTTTGCAAAAGAAAACTTTTTAATATATTTTGTGGGGAGCCCCTCCGGCTCCCTGGAGCTATCGGACTGATATATGCTATATTAGTCTGGGGAGTTCAGAACGGTCCCTCATGAAAACTTGCAAAATGGCGCTGAGGACGTATTGATGCCAAATGCAAGCAACAGCAGTGCCACCAGCGGCACTCAATAATGGTGATCAAGAAAAAACCAAGAAAGGGATGAATGAACCACACACTCAGCAACTGAAGAGCAACAATGAATAGAAAGGGAGTGGTGCAAAAGAGTGTTTAAGAACCTCATACTGCCACCAAGAAGATAATCTCAAGTGGGACTTCATCAAGAAACCACCTTCCCGCAGCAGTTTACGTCGCACAGTGGTAAAACACTCACCCGGCGCTTTGCAAACACTTTGGCCAGGGTTCGTATACTGGCTGGGGAGTATTGACCGGGTGCCAATCTTTTAACTGTAGCCTCTGTTCACCCAGTAGTGAATGGGTACCTGGTTGTCAAACGATTTGGCGGGGTGTATTCTGGGGAAAAATTAGGATTAAGGACCTGCCCAAAATGCTATGCGTGCTATTGGCTTTACAAGAATGTAACAACTCTTGTTATATAAATAAATTACAAAATAAAAATAAAAAGATGGCAATAAAGACATGTAAAAAATACTAGATGTGAAGGGGGTGAAGAGAAAGTTGAACCAGTGAGGTACACAGCTGGGTCAGTCGTCTGAAAGAGTTGGAACCATGGAAAAATGCCCTGATTCAGACACTGAGCAAGTAGCACCTGAAATAAAGGCTGAGCCAGTAACCAAGGAGCCAGAAGGACCACCTTTCCTCGGTAGGACTTCAACCTGGCCAGAACCTGGAGCAACAGCCAAACTAAGGAAAAGTAGTACAGAGATCCCCACTGTGACCAGTCCAGCCAAAAGGCATCCACTGTGAGGGCCTCGCGATCAGGGAACAGAGCTGTGTAAAGAGGAAGGTGTCGATTTCATGTCAACACAGAGAGATCCACTTTTGGGTGACTGAATGTCTCACAAGGCCACAACATGGAGGTGGTGCTGACAGTTCATTCAGTGGAGACTGAAAGAAACTGGGACAGACTATCCACCACAAGAAGGCAGAATGAATGATCATTGCCCCCATGGCACGGACGATGAGCAACTCCCCAATTTGCTCAATGGGTTCGGAGAGAATATTCATTGGCCATACCGAACCTGTAAGGAATTTCCAGGGTCTGAAGGGTAAACCAAGGAGGACACACACACACACACATTTTAGAGCATGAAATTTTAGAGCATTTAGAGCATGAAATACCTCTAGGGGCCAGCGACCATTGTGTCCTAGTCTTTGACTACATGATGGAATTCAAACTTATGACCATGGGACAAGAGATCTGGGAAAGGAGAGTTGACTACAGGAAAGGGGACTATAAGAGGATAAGGGACTATCTGGGTGAAGTGCAGTGGGAGGAAGAAATTAGAGGAAAAACAGTCCAAGATATGATGGACCTAGTCATACAGAAATGCCAGGAGGCCGAAGAGAGATTTATACCAACAGTAAAGGGAAAAAAATAAGAAGGAATATAATAACCCATGGTTTAATAGACAGTGTCAGGAAGCAAAAATGGCCAGCAGGCAGGAGTGGAGGAAGTACAGAAGACAAAGGACAGAGGACAACAAGATCAGATGCAACAGAGCTAGGAACGATTACATTACCATAAGACGAACATCGGAAAGGGACTATGAGAACGATATTGCAATCAAAGCGAAAAAACAACCTAAGTTACTACACAGTCATATAAGAAGAAAAATGTCGGTGAACGACCAAGTGACAAGACTAAGGAAGACAGAGGGGGCATATACTGAAAGTGACAAGGAAATCTGCGAGGCACTGAATGCCAGTTTCCATGGAGTGTTCACAACCGAGCCTGAGCAGCTCCCATTGTTGGAAGGGGTTACCCTAGACGAAAGACTATCAGATATAGAGGTGACAGCAGAGGAGATAATGAAACAGTTGACAACTCTAGATGCAACTAAAGCAGTTGGACCAGACAAAGTATCACCGTGGATACTAAAAGAAGCAGCGCAGGCCCTCAGCGTGCCTCTGGCAATGATCTTTAATCAGTCACTTATGTCGGGAGAATTGCCCAGTTGCCGGAAGAAAGCAAATGTCGTGCCGATCTTCAAGAAAGGCGATAGGGAGAAGGCACTTAACTGTAGACCCGTATCACTGACAAGCATCCTCTGTAAAATACTGGAAAGAATAGTTAGGCTACGACTGGTTGCACACCTGGAGAACATTAGGTTTGTGAACAAACATCAACATGGGTTCTGGACAGGGAAATCGTGCCTAACAAACCTTCTGGAATTCTATGATAAAATAACGAGGATAAGACAGGACAGAGATGGTTGGGCAGACTGCATATTTCTGGACTGCCAAAAAGCCTTTGATACAGTACCACACATAAGACTGCTGTTCAAACTCGAGAGGCAGGCGGGGGTGGGGGTAAAGGTCCTAGCATGGATAAAGAACTACCTAACAGGAAGGAGCCAAAGAGTTATGGTAAGGGGCAAGAAGTCGGACTGGCGAACAGTAACAAGTGGAGTACCACAAGGATCGGTGCTGGGACCAATTCTATTTCTTGTATATGTTAACGACATGTTTACAGGCGTAGAGTCCTACATGTCGATGTTTGCGGATGACGCAAAGTTGATGAGAAGAGTTGTGACAGATGAGGATTGCAGGATCCTCCAAGAGGACCTGAACAGGTTGCAGAGATGGTCAGAGAAATGGCTACTGGAATTCAACACGAGCAAATGTAAAGTTATGGAAATGGGACTAGGAGATAGGAGACCAAAGGGACAGTACACAATGAAGGGGAACAGCCTACCTGTGACGACGCGCGAAAGAGACCTGGGTGTGGACGTAACACCTAATCTATCTCTTGAGGCACATATAAATAGGATAACGACAGCAGCGTACTCTACACTGGCGAAAGTTAGAACATCATTCAGAAACCTAAGTAAGGAGGCATTTAGGGCGCTTTACACTGCCTACGTGAGGCCAGTCTTAGAGTATGCCGCCTCATCATGGAGTCCCCATCTGAAGAAGCATATAATGAAAGTGAAAAAGGTTCAGAGGTTTGCAACGAGACTCGTCCCAGAGCTATGAGGGATGGGGTATGAGGAGCGCCTGAGGGAACTGTGCCTTACGACACTAGAAAGAAGAAGGGAGAGGGGGGGACATGATAGGAATGTATAAAATACTCAGAGGGATTGACAGAGTGGATATAGACGAAATGCTCACACGGAATAGTAACAGAACGAGGGGACATGGATGGAAGCTGGAAAATCAGATGAGTCACAGAGATGTTAGGAAGTTTTCTTTTAGCGTGAGAGTAGTGGGAAAATGGAATGCACTTCAGGAACAGGTTGTGGAAGCAAATACTATTCATAATTTTAAAACCAGGTATGATAGGGAAATGGGACAGGAGTCATTGCTGTAAACAACTGATGCTCGAAAGGTGGGATCCAAGAGTCAATGCTCGATCCTGCAGACACAACTAGGTGAGTACACACACTGGGGATACTATGCTGTACCTTAAAGTAAGCTGACACGTCCTGGGCTATACAGCTCTAAAGACTGTCTTTGGTGTCCTGTATGTATAAACTCGCAGGCCACCAGTGCACTCCACCAGCCAACACTCGCTCTCAATCCGGGTCAAGACAGAAGGGCAATACGGCCAAGACTCGCCCAAGGCAAGAGGCCACCCCCAACAAGGAAGGACCTATTACGAGAGTGTTCTCCCGGATACACCAGGGAAAAGAACTGTTAGTGCAAAAGCAGTAATAGTGAGCACTAGGAAGGGAACCCTGAGCACATATAGCTCTAAGCACTAAAGAGCTAGGCTCATGCTGTGCCAATTGTGTACAAACCCAAGCCACACAGAATGAAGTCCAAAGAAGCACTTAGCTGAACAGCACTGGGGCCAGCTGCAACTTACTGATGATCCAGGAGCTCTACTACAGACATGCACATGCACTGCATCAGAGAAAGTATTGGCTGATTGAACATTGGACAGCATGAGACCTGGCCTCCCCAAACAAGTAGGGTGATTGACCACACGCGTATTTCGAGAGATTTTCAATCCTGTGTTTACATTATTGGAGTTCATTGGATGGGATGTGAGGCTTTGGTCTCTTTTGAACCCAGTAATGGTGTGTATTAGTTTTCTGACTTTCTGGCCTTCCCTGGTGAGGTGGCAGAGTGTCACCTGCTTCCTTCACCTCTGTTATAGGGTCAGGTTCTGGCTTAGGTCTCCTGGTAGGCCAAACTTAACTCCTGGCTGATGAAATTTAGTAGTTGGCAGTCATCTCATCGAGATTGCTTTAGTTAGCCACAAGGGACTGCCTCCATTAAAATAATAATAATAATGAAAATATATTTTGCAAAGGTTAGGCAAGAAAATTGTTTGAACAGTTTCTAGAATTCGTATATCTTGGTTATGGCTACCGATATTTATTTACTACTGTCTAACAAATATTTCTTAATTTCTAGGGGATCATGTAAGCCACCTTGAATCTGCTGGAGATGATGACTTGGATCGTCTGCTGTCCATTGTTGTAGATGTGGAGAATCTCTTTATTTGTGTTCATCGGGAGGAGGACCCAGACACTAAGCAGGTAAATATATCATCAGGTATCCTCATTAGGAATCAGCATTTTTCTATTACAGTATATGAAAATATATCGGCATTTTCTCATGTCTTTACTTTCTTTCAAGATTCATTTTAATATTTTGAAGGCAAGCAAGTTAAATAGTGCATACGAACATGCCATCGAAGCCTAAATGAGCTGCTTGTGAGAGTATCCTACATGGTGGTAAGACTTAACAGGGATGCCTGTGCATGTCGAGTCCTCAAAGCTTGCACATTTTGTGAGGAGATGTTGGTGGTGACTCTCGGACTTTGGCTTTTATCTGGTGAGACTGAAGGTTGGCCACATGGCTTGAAGTGTGTACGAGAGCCAAGACACTGTGAAGGGATTGCCAGAGATGGTATCATACATGTTGTGAGAGGACAAATAATTGGAAGAAAGATTAGGAGTCATCAGTTGTGGCTTGTACACCAATATGAGCATGTCGAGACTCGTCATGATGTTGCCTCTCCTGCTGTCAAGACTCCTTATGTTGAGGCCTCTCCTGCTGTCAAGACTCCTCACGTTGATGCCTCTCCTGCTGTCAAGACTCCTCATCATGATGCCTCTCCTGCTGGCAAGACTCTTCATGATGGTGCCTCTCCTGCTGTCAAGACTCATCATGATGCCTCTCCTGCTGTCAAGACTCCTCATCATGATGCCTCTCCTGCTGTCAAGACTCCTCATGATGCCTCTCCTGCTGTCAAGACTCCTCATGATGCCTCTCCTGCTGTCAAGACTCCTCATCATGATGCCTCTCCTGCTGGCAAGACTCATCATCATGGTGCCTCTCCTGCTGTCAAGACTCCTCATCATGATGCCTCTCCAGCTGTCAAGACTCATCATGATGCTTCTGCTGTCAAGACTCATCATGATGCCTCTCCTGCTGTCAAGACTCACCATGATGCCTCTCCTGCTGTCAAGACTCATCATGATGCCTCTCCTGCTGTCAAGACTCCTCATCATGATGCCTCTCCTGCTGTCAAGACTAATCATGATGCCTCTCCTGCTGTCAAGACTCATCATGATGATGCCTCTCCTGCTGTCAAGACTCCTCATGATGATGCCTCTCCTGCTGTCAAGACTCATCATGATGCCTCTCCAGCTGTCAAGACTCATGATGATGCCTCTCCTGCTGTCAAGACTCATGATGATGCCTCTCCTGCTGTCAAGACTCATGATGATGCCTCTCCTGCTGTCAAAATTAGGATTAAGGACCTGCCCGAAATACTACGCATGCTAGTGGCTTTACAAGAATGTAAGGACTCTTGTATATATAAATATAAAAATGTTTGGGGTGGTTACAGGATACCCCAACTTTATATATTGACTTTTAGGCCTGCCTAGAATGTTTTGATTGTGAGCCTATTCCTGTCCCAGGGGAATTTTGAACATCAAGTAAATATCAACAGACAGTGGTAGGGGTTTGGTCATGTGAAAGGGTTCTGTGATTAATATACCATAAAGTACACATTAGTTATTCCTTGTGTCCAGTGTGGAGGGAGTCCATCATACCCTAAAGCAGGTAAATTTGTGGGAGTAATTTCCCTTGGGGCCAGGCATTGACCCATTCCACCTGGAGGGCTTGCTAGAGTGTATGTTTGAAAGTAATAAGACAGCCCTGGAGTACAGTATAGTGGCAGGTTTACATTGAGTATACCACAACACGGATCACTAACCCGTGACACTTATTCCAGTACTTTTCTGGGGGGAGCCCCTTCGACTCCCCCGGAGCTATCCAGGCTGATATGGATATATTAGACCTTTGGCGTCAGTCAATGTGAATGGAGTTCTAGGCATACTGGGGACCCGAGCCAGAACCTGGCCCCCTCAGAGAGGCACGAGGAGCAGTTGTCCATAGAAATGCACATGGGTTTTGGAGCATTCTATGTGTGCTGATTTGGAGCATTCGATATCTGCCATCGACTGGGGCAGGCACCCAGAAAGGTAAGCGCCTCAAAACAAACCCCCTATTCTGGTTAAAATGACTAAAATAGACAAACAAGTGGACAAAACTCCCCAAATGAAAACGAGCAAGCGTACATGATGTCACCCGAGCTATGCCGCATGTCTGTGCAGCTCCCCCCCTCCCTGGAAAGGGAAAGGGGGAGCCCCCAGACCTCCTTGTCGGCGATCCACCCTGCAGCTCTCCGGCTGATGTGATTGTGGCACGGTCGTATGGCTTCAGCTCCAGATTCTCTGTGTTGTGTTGGGCCTTGTGTCCATTACTGTTCTTACGGTGGCGTGCGAGCTGGGAGTATTATTCTCAGGTATTCGGGCTGTATGTGCTTAGGGTTCTCTTCCCTGAGTGCCCTGTAAGTACCGCCCTTGGGGCTTGGGGTTATCTTCCACAAGTCACCTTGGGGACTACCTCTGTTGGTCTTTTGCTGCTCGACGATTGGCCGCCCTGAGTGTGACGGTAACGCGTTGGTGTTCGGCTGTTCAAAGCTAGGGGTATGGCCTCGTCACATAGTATTAAAAAAAAATAGAAAATCTGGAACTTCGTCTGTGGTAAGGTAAGGAGAAGACACACAAAACACAAGTAAATTTTAACAATGAAATTTTAATTACGTTAAATAAATCAAAACATGAATAAAATGGACTTACAAATTCGTATAATAAAATCAATCAATCAAAATAATAAGAATAATTAAATGACACAATGAAAAGTTACGTTAAGACAAGTGAGCAAAATAACAAGGAGTGCAATATACAAGTAAATAAAGGTGCTGGAATATTGGCTTTAAGCTATCACCTCTCTCAGTACACGTACGCCAAAGCTTACGTCTAGCAGGGAGAAATGTTAACTGTGTGAAAGCACGGAATATTCTGAGGACTGAGGTCGTGGCGGCCCCAGACATCAAGTAGTATGGGGGGGTGGAGTGCAGTTGCAGCCCGACCGGCGACCAATCAGAGGAGCCGGCAGCAAGACGGGTAGTTTGGCGGTTTGAGTCTGAGCAGGTGTCCCTGGCTGCATACGTTTTGCTCTCTGGCAAACCTTGCTGGTGTTGTTGTCGTTGTTGGACATTTCTTCCATAGTAGTTTTATATAGTTGTAACGACGTAATTGTGGAGGGAAGAGCAGGCTCAATCTCTTGAAGGAGATTATTGTCACAACTCTCCCCCGAAGCCTGCGGTTCTGGAAGAAGTACGTCGTTATGTGGTGGAGTAATGGATGGAGTCGCTTCTACTTCATAAACTCTGGAGAGATCATTGGCTAAGATGTTGTCGGAATCTTGGTATAGCGTGTCTCCAGGTTGAATTTCTGCAGTTAGCAAGCCCATAGTAGAAGACGTTGAGATGAGAAGTGGGCGTGCTGCAGGAGGTGTAGGGTGGTGTGGTCCGTGTTGATGGTGGACCGAGCACTTTTCAGGTGTGGAGTGAAGTGCTGGAGCTTCAGGATGATGAAGAGTAGCTCCTTGCCAATTGTTCCGTAGTTCCTTGTAGCAGTAGTCGCTGACAGGTGTATCCTCCTCGCCTCATTGCTGCATCGCGACACCACCAACGTCGGTACCACTGGCGTCGACATGGAGGATGAAGGGCTTATCTGACGAGGTGAGAGTGGAATTAGAATAGGGCAAAGGAGCACGATTATTATCCTGAAAGCATTTGGGAAGATCATTAATGATTTCGGAATTAGAAAGCGCTGACTCCTTGTCAGTGCTTTCGGGAGGAGAAGCTGGGAAGGTCTCACTGTGGATGTAGGGTTCTGTGAAGGTAGAACAGTTAGTCAGGACAGTGGGAGGAGTACCATTATATTGCTTCAGGAGGTTGACGTGGCACAGCTGGGTCTTCCGCCGCCTATCTGGAGTCTCTATTACGTAGTTGTTATTATTCCTGCACTCTTTGACACGGTAGGGTCCTGAAAACCTGTTTTGTAAAGGTGAACCTGGGATAGGGAAATATGCAAGGACGAAGTCTCCCGGCTTGAATTTTCTTACTTTGCTGGTCTGGTCATAATGAGTCTTCATTCTCTCCTGGGCTTTCAATAGATTATCATGGGCAAAACGGTGGACTCTCTCTAGAATGTGTTGAAGGTTTTGAAGAAACTGGGGCACATTCTGATGCTCACTGAAGGTGGCATCTCGGAGAGAGTCTTTGAAAGCCTTAAGGGGAGTACGGCACTTACGGCCGTAGAGCATCTCATAAGGAGATACTCCTAGGGACTCATTGGGGAGACTTCTGTAAATACACATTATAAGGTCAATCTGCTTATCCCAATCCTTCGAGGTTTCACTACAAAACTTTTTCAAGAGTGCTTTGATTGTCTGATGACTACGTTCAAGAGAACCCTGTGAAGCAGGATGATAGGGGCTGGACAATACCTGTTTGATGTTGAACTCCTCCAGTGTCCTTTTGAAGAGATCACTGGTGAAGTTGGTACCACAGTCGCTCTGAATCTCCCTGGGAAATCCGTATTGAGTGAAGATCTTCAATAGATGTTTTACAACCGTAGCAGCCGTGATGTTCTTCACTGGAACTGCTAGGGGAAATCTGGTGGTAGGACACAGGATGGTTAGGATGTAGGCGTTACCTGAACTGGTCCGAGGTAAAGGACCAACACAGTCTATTATGAGTCTGTGGAAAGGTTCCGCAGGCACCTGTATGGGAATCAGTGGCGCTCTGGGAATGGAGATGTTCGGTTTGCCTGCCATCTGACATGTATGACACTGTTTTACGTACTGTTTGACGTTATTTACCATACCTGGCCAGTAGTAGTCTTGACGAATTCCATGGTAAGTCTTGTTGAAGCCATAGTGGGAGAGCGCTCCGTGGGCCAGGTGTAGAATAGTGGGCCGCAGGCTGGTGGGAATCACAAGTTGTTCGATGTTGGCCCAATCGTCCTCCTCCTTCAGTTTACTGGGTCTATATCTGCGGTAGAGCAAGTCGTTCTCTAGGAAGAACCCAGGAATACTGTCGGGTTGAGTCTCAGCCTGGAAAAACAATGGTGTTAAAGTAAGATCTTCCCTCTGCAACTTACGGAACTCC